TTTTGGAAAACATGAATAAGAACAACCGTCTTTACTAGCTTTGTTATCTTGCAGAATGACGACACAAACTCTTATCAAGATTTTTGTTATTCTTGGCAACAAAATTCGCCCTCTTCTTTGGAATACGGACGCCCACTCGAAACGAAATTATCCATAGCTTATGAAAAAACGGACAAATGAAAATTACTTTGATACCTTTTAACGATAACCTTTATGTATGACTTGCCGAACCTTATCACCTTATTTGCTTAAGCCACAACTTATTCAAACACTGAGAGCGACATCACCAACTCGTAACTTCCTTTTAATAAGTTTTAATATATTATTGGCTCTATGAGCGAACAAGGCCTAGGCTATGATTGGCTAGTCCCGCGCGAGTAGGCAAGATGGAGCTATTGAATATTGAAACTCGGGATTGCCTACTTTTCAGTTCTTGAAATAAATTTTCATTCGTTGAAATTTTTCGGCAATTGATGTAACGAATCCACCCTCGTACCCAGCGTCTTTGTTCCCCTTGACCAGCATGCGCAGAAAGGTTCGAAGCCTAAGACTCGAGGTTGACCTGATTTGTACTGTCAAGATGGCTGCACTACGTACGTTCCATGAACCTTAAAGTTTTAGCGTTTTATAGCTCAATCAATTTCTGGCTGCTTAAATACGTCTCGCTGTATCAATGGCGCTTGCATCTGTGAAATACAAGTGAATTAACATTAAGTATTTCTCATTTCCTTTTACTTGGATCAAACACTTGAGTTTTATTGGACACCTCTTGAATATTTTTATTGTACTAAGAAAGTCGATATTAATTTCCTTAAGTCATGAACTAAGGCATTCACCAGAGGATCTCAATAAAAAATTACAGCTTCAAAAACTTTAATTACCAGTTGGAGGAGATAAATCTACTAATGTTATTGAACAAAACTGCTATTCACCAGGAGGTAAAAGATGCTAAGCTATGATGCAAGAAATAAATCATGGCAATGGGTCAAATGTAATAACCCTTTCCGTAAGAGATTTGAACTAGTAATTTGACACCTGTCGTTCAACTTGAAACCTTTTACGTTTCTCAGCTTAATTAAGCCGATAAAACTCTCGCACAGGTGTTCCACAAACCACTAAACCTGCAAGCGTACAAGAAGAATGGTCAAATAGTCCGAAATATTGAGCCAAGTAAAAAGCAATGAAAACCCAAATAGACGTGCATCGAACTGGCCATGAAAGTTCGACTGTATTTTCTGAGCCAGGTTATATCATGGGAATCAAAGTGGCCGCTTACTGCATCATTATCGTGACTTCACTTGTGGGCAACAGTCTCATTATAGCCATTGTTCTCAAGAATTACAACCACCACATGAAGACACCAAACAACTTCTTCGTTGTGAACACAGCGGCTGCCGATATCCTAATCACAGTGTCCAGTGCTACAGAAGCGGTTGTCACAATCGCAGCGTCCAAATGGCTGATCGAGGGAACATTTGGACATTTTTTGTGTAAACTGAAGACAGTAACAATGGCGCTGTCCGCGCTGGTGTCAACCCAAAGCTTGGCCACAATGGCGATTGATCGTTTCATTGTAGTGTTCTTTCCTCTCAAGAGAATCATTGGGCGTCATGGCGCATACTCGATAATAACGGTGATATGGATCACGTCCGCTGCCTTTACAATCCCAATGGTTTTCATAGCCGATGTCCAAGAACTAAGGGGCACTAGCGTGTGTTTTCTGACTTTCTGGAAATCGAAATCTATAGAAAACTACTTTATTGCAATATTCGTGTTATTCAAATGCACCCCTTTGGTGATTCAAGGAGTTTTGTATGTGGCAGTGATATTGAAACTGTGTTTGAGAGAGACACCGGGGAATGAGCTTCATATTCCCAATCACCATCACTATCACACTGAGAAGATGAACCGCAGAATAATAGGAATGCTCATCGCAATTGTGCTGCTGTTTGCAATTTGCTGGCTTCCCATTTGGATTGAATCTATGGTCTGCTTTCAAAATTTTACCAACAACATTTGCCAGTCGTTACACATCAACTTCATCGTCTGGTTCTTGGCCTACAGCAAAAGTGCGATCAATCCGTGCATTTATTTTGTTTTTAATGAGACTTTTCGCCACGGTGCCTCTCTGCTGTGGTCTAAATTCGTCCACAGTCGCTCTCGCCGTCGTTGCAGTATTTCTCTAAGACACAATCGAGTAACGCCTTTGCAAAATCGAGCCGTTCCGGGGTATGAAGGAGATAATACCAACACTACAAGAACAGCGCCTGTAAATGCAACAACCTAGAAAACTATGTTGACTCCTGTTTTAGCATTACCGTTAAAGTTGGAGTTCGAATTTCGTGTTTAAGAAAAACACACTAGGCCCGTAGAAATAGGACAGCTCCAGATTTGGAAACCATTATAAAGCTTAGTGTTTTTGTATTCAGTAAAAGTCTAACTGCAGAGCAACGTACTATGAAGCTTTGATATTTCTACGTTTGGCAGAACACTTTGTAAATTAATTACTCAAAGCCCGAACTAAGTTTACTTTAGAAAATTTACAGTATTTGGATATGTTATCGATATAACGCATAGTGGCATTTCTTAATATAATAATCACTGATGTTGAACTCGGTAGTTGTCATTCCACGAATGAGTAATAACGCTTAGTTGATAACGTCCGCAGCAAACGTCACTTTGATTAACTGACTAAATTTTATCCACTTCAAATGATAAAAAGTTGCGGATAAAAAATTGGACGAGTCATTACTCAAGAAAAAGCATTTATTTAGTTATGTTACCAGTTTCTTTACCCACACAGTTTTTCGACTTTATACCCAAATTAAAGGACAATTCATGTTAAATTTATCTATCCTTGTGATGAACTTGCTGCACGTCCAGTTGCAACATTATTTTATAAAGATGGACTTTTCCTAATATATGGCGTAGGATCGCGAAAGAGCTTGTTAATGATGAGTAATCGGTCACATCGAACGGGCCCTGGCCAGTGCCAATTCTGATTCTCTACTGCAGGCAATAAATTCAAAACTACATGAAGGAAGATCATCGCAGTTATATGCGCAACTTTTGCAGCTGGGAAAAGAAAGCCTGAAAAAGATTCAGGTTTTTTTTTTCAGGCTTTCTTTTCGCAACTGTAAAACTTGTGTATATAACTGCGATGATCTTCCTTCACTCCGCAGTTCACATACATGATTTTCATATATCCACAACTTCAAATTCAAAACTGTCAGCTCTTCCTGGAATACACATTTCATCAAATATTTGAAGAGGAAATCTGTCGTTTGACAAAAAAAAAGAAGTCATCATTTCAGAGGCTCGTTAGTTTTAAACAAGTAGACTACACTTGTTCTCAGTTGAAGATATGCAATGAATCATTCGTGCAATTCTTTCAGTTGTATTTCTACTGTAACGTGAAATGTAATCATTACAGATGTAACATGGAACAGTAAGGCAAACCATTCTCCCCGATGAGTGCTGTCAACTGAAGGGGTCATCTCAGGGTTACTTTCACATTTTTGGTCTAAAGTGATCTAAAAATAGAACTAAAGGTCTCCAGACACTCCAGTATCATGGATTCCTTGCGTAGTAAACCATGCTTAGGCAAGCCAGCACACTCTCTTGCCCTGCCGTCCTCGCGAAGTCAGGGGAAAGGTGTTTTCGGTGAGTTTCGTTCAGTTACGTCACGGCTCTTAACTTTTGTGTTTGCCCACAGGTGACCCAGGCTCTGTGATAGCACCACAGTATGATTTAAGTAAAATTACAGTGTTTGTGTGGGGCAAAATACGACCCTGAAATTTGTGGGAAATACTACTAAAATTAGTACTACTGAGTAAATAAAGGTCAATGAGACTTACTCTGCAGATAGTTGTTATTTTCATTAATGCTCACACGAATTTTCGTGATAATTTGCTCAAATTCACCCTCTATGCAATATAATACACATAATAGGTGGAAAGATATGGCATCACAGCCGCCATCACTCCCCTTCCAACACCCTTTTTTCTTCGAATTTCGAACTTCAACGGTAAATAAACACGCTAGGCCCGTAGAAATAGGACAGCTCCAGATATGAAAACCACTATGAAGCCAGTTGGTGTTCTTGCATTCAGCAAAAGTCTTACTGCAGAGTTAGTTTCATTTACCTTTCTTTAGTATTTTCCTCAAATTTTAGGATCATATTTTTACCCCACACAAACACTGTAAATTTACTGGAATCGTACTGTGGTACTATCACAGAACCTGGGTTACCCGTGTTTGACCCAGCGGGGAACGCCCTGGGACTTTTAACAAATTAAAAAGGTTAAGGCGCTCCTTATTTTTGACAGAGAGGAGAGTGATTTTTCGACGAAACTGGACGACTAGACAGATTTGTTTTGTAAGGTTTATAAGTATTACGTACCTGTTTTCCTTATTTATGTCTCGCCTGTCTGCTTTGCATTATTGTTGCTCCCTTCATATCCGGAGTCGAACCGCACTAATTTAATGTAGTTGGCTCTCTAACTTGATTATCTTCATAAATATACGCTAGGATTTTAATAAGCAATGACATCGTTTGTTTTGTAAGATTTCAAATAAAGGAATTCAAATTTTTCTTTTTTGTTTTCAATTTTTGATTCTTTTGTTACCCTTCAGTTTTTGTTTTGTTTTTTTATTTCTATTTTTATTATTCTTTTTAAGAGAGGTTGGCCCGATTTCATTAAGAAAGGTTTAACTAGGACTGATAAAGGAGAATTTTCTTAGGGAATGACTTAGAGTTTACAAAACCATCTACTTCATGGGCTGTAAAACTCGGGCTTTCGAATACACACGTTACCAGTAAAGAGCGAACAGCTGTTAAATAAGACCCTGTGGTGTGACCAATCACAGAAGATCCTATCGGCCTGTATGTAAGCCCCTTGGACACCTTACGTAATTTACAAAATGTAGAACAGTTGAACCTTCATTAAGCAGCCAGTAATCAAAGTCCCGAAATAAATGTAGAAACTAGCAGCAACCAAAGGTTAGGAAATGAACATTTGCGTTTACCTTAGAGTTGTGACTGATGTTAAGAATCACTTCTTTCATAATAAGCAAATAGTAGATGCGTGCGTGAATAAGATGACCCTTTTTAAAACTTGAAAAGGTAATTCAGTTTTCTCACAAATTTGCCTCACAGAAAAATCGTGGCTGCGAACCCTTTGTTTTCCCTCTTATGCCTTGAACCCTAGTCTCCCTTGCAGCCGTTTTTTGGATGTCACGCAAAGCTTTGCAAAACTGAGGGCAAAACTGTCCACCTATCCCTCCCCTAAGCCAACATTAACACTTACTTCTCACTTAGGGCAAATGTTGACTTAGGGGAGGGGAAGGTGGACAGTCTCCCAGAAACGTATAATGATCCATATGGTGTAAGTGGAGAGGAATTTCCCTGGAATCTTATTCTGATATCCTTTCCTTACAGAACCACGCCTGCAGGCACGTCGCACTGAACAGAGGGATTTCCACTCAAAAAACAACAACGATCTGGGGAAGACCAGGATTCTGATTCTTGATGAGATCGATCGAGTTTCATCACAAGACCTGTTACGCTTGCTTTAGTTTTGAAACTAATTTATTAATAAATAAAGAATTTTACCTTTACTAACGCTTCCTTTCGTCTTTCAAAACCTCCGACAGATAATCTTGTCGAACAACACTGGGGATTTTAAACTTGAAATGATTAGTTGTAGTATCCCTCTATACTTTTTCCACGGTTTTCTTTATCTTAGTTTCATGCAATGAAAGGAAAGCCGTGAACAGTAAATATTTGAATCAAAGAGAAACTAATAATTGGCAGCCTGTGACATATGCATCTTCAAAGCTGACTTGAAAAGAAAAGGAAAAATGCCCGACTGAATAAGATTTCAGCCTGTCATCGGCACAGTTCGCTAAAACTTT